ATTTTACTGATAATAATTATTTAAAAAAAAGAAATTATTACACAAAAATTACTTACTTTGAAATCCTGTACCAAAGAGCTGCTACTAAACACATACAAATAAGTGTATCCCTTCAGATTACTTTCAAAAAATATCCTATGTTTTTAAATATTTAATATCAAGATTTCTTAACAGTATCAAGAGAAGAACTGGTAATCTAATATCATTAAACAAACAAAAAACGATAAAGAAATGCTACCTGGGAAGAGAAATTCATTAATCATTAAAATATATAAAGAAAAAATAAATGTCTGCAGTTGAAGCCATAAACAAAAAGGAAGCAATATTGAAGATCAGATTTGATGCCCAAAGACAATAAAAACTAAAATTCTTTAAAAAATGACAATGTTTCTCAAATTAAATGATTGCCAAAAATAGGCAGCTAGAGATGCATTCTTGCCTGAATTATGTTTAACATTTTTAATCCATGTATGTAACTGGTTAGGACTAAGTTCTTTACCTATGTCAAATTTTAGCCATATACCTTCTAGCCTTCCTTGGATATCAGCTGTGTTTTGGAAAGTCAAATGTTGTTCTGAGGCAGGATATGTTTCCCCACTTGTGGGTTCAGTACAGTTCAAAAGAAGACAGATGCAGGCACAGGACATATGTACAAGAAGGGAAGTATATATCAGAACAAGATTCAACGACATTCCAAAATAAGACACCTGAGGAAAGATGGTGGGCACATGGTTAAAAAGACAGAAATTCATCTGAAGCAACCACATACATTGATGAGAGATTAATTCCTTTATAAATAATATCGATGAATGATTTGGAAGAGATTTCTATTTTTAAGAAATCAATAAGCTTTGCTCATTAAAAAATATGAATAATTCATTGAAAACAAAGAAATGTGTAAGTATCAAAAAATTCTTGGTCTAGAGATAAAATTTTAATAAATTTTATTTTAATTCTCTATAATTATTTAGTGTGACTACTGTTACTGGACATGTTTAGGAAAGCAGTAGCCATAGCCAAGCATTTTTTCTATTTTACTAAAACAACTGAATTATCAGTTAAATTTAATACCATGTTTGAATTAAAAAAAAAAAAAAAAAAACCAAAAAGCCCACAAAAACCTAACAACTGAATTAAATTTCCTAAATAAAAATGATAAAATTAATATTGCTTCTACTTTTCCTGAGCATGCTTGGTAAACAATAGTCCAGTTGATTATTTTTTATCATTATTAAAGAGGAATTTAAAAATCTTTAAAAAATATTAAGAGGAAGCAAACTGCATTAAAATATAAAATTAAATCAACTAAAATTAAATACAACAAACACCAGTTTTTAGTTATATTGTGCATTATTCCAAATTGATTCACTTATGGACCCTTTTGTAAATCAGAGAAATGTCAACAGAAAAGACAATCTTTTTGAAATTCAAAAAGAGAAAAACATTTTAAAAAAATAAAAGGAAGGAAAGGTTTGGACAGCAGATGTACAAAGACACAAATTGATTTAGCTTTTCTGATATTTGGTTTTTCTATTCTTTAAATTCTGTAAGGCTTCCAAAAAGTCTCATGCTGTTTGACAATGTCACAAAGTAGAATTCAGTTTAAAATCTGGTCATTTATTTTAAAGAAACAATTTTTTTGTCAAATACTTAAATGGCAACAGAGTTGACAAATCAAATGTGGATATAAAACTGCTTAGAACTGCTATGAGAAAAACAGTTTTGTGGGAGGAAGGTGATTGGGGATGTTTTTATTTTATTTTTTTCATTTTTTTGTGTATGTGTTGGAATTGTTTTATTTTTGGGGCAGATGACAATTTAGCAGACAAAAATAATTTTGTCTAAATGACATAAAAAAAAAAAAAAAAAAAAAAAAATAATAAAACAAACTTGAAAAATCATCATACAGGCAAATTTAAGAATAGTATTTTCAGATTAAATTTCTTCACAATGTTTTCACTGCATAGAAACAAAGTCTCATTATTTTCCCACCATTCATTGTTAAATTTTCATGAGAAATTCTTGGTGGATAGCAATAACAACAATAAAAAAAAAATTTGCTTCTTCATCCGACTTTGGAAAAAATAGATTGTTTTGTAAAGAAGTGGCATTTTCTGTCCTTTTATGGTTGCAAATTTAATTTAGGGCTACTGAAAATAATTTTTTTTTCATTTAAATGAACAATTTGTTAATGGAAGAGTTAACTATATACCATTAAATATGATTAGCAGAGAACAGAATGGTTTCACCAAAAATGAAAGGTTAGTTAAAGCAAAATGGAAAGTTGTTAAGTACAGTTATGCTTTTTTATTATAGCAGTGACTTAACGCAATTTGATCAGTGGAAGTTTATAAAAGGTAGTTGAAATCAAACATTGCATCTTAAGATATCAGACATTTTATTGAATGCTATATGTCCGTATAGTATATTATGTACTTTTGAGATCATTTTATTTACAAAATTCAACAAAGGAGGGGGAGATTAAATTTATACATATATTACTTAAGCTAATAATTTTCATCAGAAATTTTGTTACTATAAAAAAATAAAACAAAATAATAATTTGAGGCAAAGGATTCAAGACACATTCTTCAGTCAAAAGAAACTAACTGTTAAAAATTTCTCAGGAAAAAAGATTTAACACATTAAAAAAAAAGTAAAAGTGAACAAATGCAATGAAAGAAAAGTGAGAATTATCAAAATATTCTGTTAATTTTACAACTTATGTTCCTAAACTGAAAATAAGAGAGAGAAATTAATATGACTAGGGACGGGGGGGGGGGTCTGTTTATTTTTGTTATGTCACTTAATATTGTTTTATAATTGTAATTATTGCCACCACAAATTGTGGAGACAACTAAAATTCTTTGTAATTATCAACAAGGCCAGCTCCAAGTAGAAAAATATTTTGAATTGGACAAATGTCTTTGTACACATTCAGCAAATCAGATAAAAACTCTTTATCATCAACATTTGGTTGGGTTTTTCCTAATAAAGAATTTTTTGTTTTGTTTGTGGCAAGAAAAGTGTAGAAAAAACATTTTAAACTGTAAATTTTAAACCAACAGGTTTGGAAACCTAGTATTTTTTTTCAATTTTATTTTTTTTTTTAAATAATTTTCAGTTATCTTAAATTAAAAAATTGTTTATCATTTTTTTTATTTTTTTTTTTTATTTTAGACGTGTTAAAATTTTTTTTAAATATTTTTAAAAGATGTTTTTTTTCTCATTACAAATGTTTCTGGTGGGTTGAAGTTTTTTTTTCTCCTTTTATCAGGCAACTGACAGGTATGAAAGCAGTAATAAAAAAGTGCATGAAATAAAGTTGAAACAAAAAACATCTTTTACAAAAAACAAAAAAAACAAAAACATACATCTAAGAGAAGAGTTTGGCAAATTCTATCAATTTAAATAAAATACAATAAACAGTTGACCTTAATAACTATATAACTGTCAGCCAATGCAAAAAAAAAGTATGACCAAATTACATTTCAAGATTTTTTACAATATTTTTACATAGTTAACTTCATTACCTTAGGCTTGTTAAATAAAAGAAAAATTCTGAAAATATATACAGAATGCTAATATGAAATACCTGAGAAGCATCTTAAACTGCTTCTATAATGCCTTACAGTTAGAGGTTAACAAAGCAGTCATGTAGAGAAGTAATTATTTTTTAATTAATGTACACTTTAATATATATATATATATATATATATATATATATATATATATATATATATTGTAGTCTACAAGTAAATTTACTAATAAAGCACCTATTTTGGTAAATTTAGAATTTTTTCCCTACTTATTACACAAACCAAATGAAGGTTGAAATAAACATCCTTTTTATGGACCAGTTTGAAAATCAACAAAAGGATTAACAGATTATCTAACTTATTCTCAGAATGATTATCAGGTAAATTATTTCATATAATAGAAAATGATTATAACAAAAATGTTGTCAGAAAGGTCCATAAGTCAAAGTAACTTTTTTCTTTTATATAATCTTATATACTTTTGACCATGCCCAAAATAAAAAAGCTATTACATAATTAGCATTCTGAAATACTTCTCAGATCATCATATACATTCAAAAAACAATTGATATGTGGTCATTATAAGCTTAACTTGTAACTGGTTAATTACAAAAATATAGATAGCTTTACACAACCTTAAAATAAAACTAATCCAAATTTTGTTTAAAAATCAAGCAAGTAAGCCAATGACATTTTAATGAGTAAAAAAAAAAAAAAAAAACATCAAGACACTAAAGATTCTCTCCAACCAAAATAGCTGAACATTAATTCTTTTGTGATTATTTTATGATTATTTTATGCTTTAAGTCATTCTATTTTATACTGTATAACATTAATAATGTCTTCTTGATTGCCACATCTTCCTTTCATTCATTTGAAAATATTTTCTAATAATTTTTATTTTCATCTTTTAGAGTCGGCTTTATTTGAGATAAAAAATAACTGATATTACAATTCAGGTGGGTATCGAGATATGAAAAATATTTTTAACATCTGACAATTTTTTCCTCTTTAGTTTGTTTTAGAAAAATTTACAAACACTTGGCACCATATACCTATTGTGTTCCTCTCTTTTTTTTTCTTTTTTTTTTTCAATAAAAAAGTGCTAACCATCAAATTTAAATACCCCCACACATCATTTATTTTTCACTGATCTACATGCATGAAAATAGCAGATATTCATGCTACCCTTTGCCAAGTTTAGTTGATAATATATATATAAAAAAAAATAAATAAATAAATAAAAACAAAAATAAAAAAAAAAATTTAAAAAAAAACCATAAAAATAGTCTTCAGAGTAAGAACTTTTCATTTTTTGGTTGCTTCTGTCGTGTTTCAATCCTTTTTTGTGTGTATGTATCAAACAATCCCACCTGAAAGTCATCAAAAACAGTACCTGAGCAAGAGTGTACAGCCGCCTTATTGGACAGCACCATGACAGAAATGGAGTTTTAACAGTGGTCAAACTGTACAGGTAGAGAGAGAGAGAGAAAAAAAAAGGGGGGTGGCTTCACAATTAGTAGTCAGGGAATCATTTGCGGGATCTGAAATAAAAAAAAAAAGAAAATTCTTTTAAACACGTACATATTCAAATTTGCATATATAGGTAAAAGTTTTCACAAATTTATCTGCAAAATTTTGGTAAATTTTTTATTTTGAAATAAATCGACTAAAATATTAGTTTAAGATTTTTTATCTATTTAAGCACATTCATATACTTGCAGAAATGTATAGAATAATGATGAAATGATAATACAAGTAAAAGAAATGTAATACATGACACATATGCAATAATGGATGACCATTCTTAATTGTCCAGAGTTTAAGATGAAAGGACAGGAAACAAAGAGATGGCGGAGAACTTAAGAACAATACTTTGGAAGTTTAAAACTTAAGAATAATTTACCAACAAAAAAAAGTATTAAGCACAAAAATATCAGTCACAAGATTTAAAAAAAAAAAATAAATCAGTGTTTGATGAATTGATGAGATTTTTATAATGAAATCATATCAAACAATGAAAAAAAATATGTTTTAAAATGACAGATTAATTTATTATTAAAACATTTACTTTAGTCATGGCTCCTTATCCCTCCCCACCTCAATGCATTTTTTTCAGTTTTGCTGTTTATGATTTTTTTTTTATTTTGTATGTTTGAATTTTTCCCATACGAATCTTTCTGAAGAAGTGTTGGATGAAAAAGATTCCATTGAAAGAAAAATGAATGTGCTCCATCATTTTTTAAACAATATATAAATTCTGTGGTATAAAATTTTTGTTTATATTTCAGAGATTTGCAACAATTTTATATGATAAAATATAGTTTTAAGGTATGCTATATTTTATAATGTAAGATGGATAAAGTTAAGATGGATAAATTGTCAACTAAATTACACAAAAATGAAAATAGCACTGACATCTCATTTTAACAGATATATTTAACAAAATTATACAAAATATCTTGGAATACTAAAGAGTAAAATTATTCAATAAAATCGTCACTGGTTTAAACCACAGCCTCCAGACGACTGGAATCTTCTGCAATTGTTCTGGATGGTCTCCTTGTTTAAGTTGGTGAATGTGGCCATAATCCTTGCTTTTAGTTCATCTTTGGTATTACAAGATTTGTTGGTCTCTTGCACAACTGTGCCCCACACATAATAATCAATAGGGTTACAGTCTGGGGAGTTAACCAGATGTAAGGGGTGATGTGGTCGCAGAAATTGTCTAACATCCATGACTGGGTTCTCCTGCTTGTGTGGCATGATGCAGAGTCCTGTTGCTAGACATAGGGTCTTCCAGCAGCCACGCACTTGACCCAGAGCAGTACTACCTCCTGAAGGCAGGGTTGAGTCTGAGGCAGTGTGGGAAGATGAATGAAGGCATAACATCGCCATCACTAGTAATTCCTCCAAACACCTTTGTAGTTACCATTAGACTTATCCAACTCTTTCTGAATTCTCTGCACTGTCCTCAGATTGACACCCAAACACTCTGAAATGTTTGTATTGGAGCTTCCAGCAAAAATTCCAAGAAGTACACCATGCCATTTCCAAATTTCTGGCAGAGTGAGTTGCATCGTGGTGCTCTACAGACAGTGCCCTACTGATGCTACTATATTGTACAGTCAACAAAATCAAAAACAAACAACACACATGACCAAAATTAAAAATATAAAATGGTGGCAATTTACCCATCGTATACTGTGTGTGTGTATGTGTCTCTCTCTCACACCATTATATTTCCTATGCACAGGCACTTCACCATTAAATAATAGTGAGCAAATGCATCTCATAGACAATGACTATTAAAAGTCTGATCCTTACTGAGCACTCTACACATTTTCTCTTGTGCTATTTTAAACATACCTTAATAAACATTAATAATTCCTCATCTCTTAAAAGATTCAGTAGATTTCATATAGTACTATGGTTTCCCTCTATATCACATTTTTTTTTAAGGTAAGTGGATCTTAGCTCTCCAGTTTCCTGTCTTGTTGCTTTTAGTAATACTTGCTCTGTTACAACTCATGGCTTTGGAGTATTTGTTTCATTATTCATTTACCAAGTGGGTTATTCACTATTTTTCCTCTGCTTCTCATACCTCCAATATGCCCTATAAATAGGGACCTCCCCACCTTAAAAAAAAAAAATGTTACCCGAGGTTTAAAATGAACCATTCTTTAAGCTTTTATTTTAGTTTTAATTTCAAGCTAACAGATTAAATTTAATAATGCCAATAAGCAAAATACTTTGCTCTATTTCAAAAGAGTTTTCATTTTGAAATTTCTCAAAATTTTGAATTTAGGGGCATTTTTAGCCATCTGTCATCAGAATGTAATCGTCTTTATTAAAAAATCTTAAAAAAAAAAAAAAAAAAAAAAAAAAAAAACTTTTTTTAAATATACTCTGTAACCTAATGTTTTATTGAATTTTAAATACTTTGGATTTAAATTTACTATAGTTATTGCTCTTATTTTCTAACAATGTCATGTGTGAACACCGATATCTATAAAAATCGGCATGTTTATACACATATTAAAAAAAAAAAAAAAAAAAGTCAAAATTCTTTTAAATACTGGGAGACATTAAATCATAAAAAGCTTTTAGATTTATGAATAATAAATATAATTTTTGCTTAATAACAATATTCCCTAACTTTTAAACCATTGAAACTGAATTTTAAAAGATTTAAAAACTTTATAAATTATTCTAATTAAAATTTAAAAAAATGAAAAACAAATCTTGTAAAAATTCATTATTCATCAGAAAATTTTTTTCTTAAGACAATATTGCCCTTAATATATCTGATTCATAAAAGCAATTAAAAGCGTTTCTAATTAAATAATGTCTTAGTTTTATTGCATTTATTTCATGATATAGTTTTTTAAAAAAAAATTGATGATTTAAATTCACCAAGGAGTTCTGCTTTTTATATAGTCATTAAAAATTATCTTGTAGAATTTCTTGTTTTCATAAAATTAAGTGGGGTGTAACTCATGTAAAAAAAAAACAAAAAAAAAAACAAAACATTTCTGAAATATTTTAATTGATTTGTGAATAAGTCCTGAAAGTTGCAAAAGTTTCCAAACCAAATATGTCTTTCACAAAAAAAGAGACACTAAAATTTGCTATTCGAATTCATAGTCCCATCCCAGTTGACCCAAGAAAAACAAGATTTTTAACTAAAATTTCAAATGTTCTAAAAAGGATTAAAAATATAATTAAATAATCAAAAAATACTTTGAGCTTTCCTTTTAATAATAACAGATTTTGATGATTAAACTTTGTTTTCAAGTTTGGGGCATTTTTTTCATCATGGTATGCTCATTTTACAGCAAATTTTGGAAGGTAACTACCTATAAATGTTAAAGGTCCAGTCTTCTTTCCTCATGTATTCCTAAAATTTCAGCTTTCTACTTCTGATAGTTTGCGACAATTTCTTTCTTGTTCCTAATCTGATTAAAACTTCCCTCATAAATCTGTCCACAGTATTCTCAACAATCATTTGTAGAATCATATTTTTCACTTCAGGCCCTTTTCTTGTCCAATATACACTACCATATGTAGGATATACATAGAAAACCAGTACTTTGTTTCTAAAGACATTTTTTAATTCCTTAATACTTGAGTTCAGTTTCGGAAAAGCATCTTACACTACTATACATCTCTGGAGTTCTGTATAGTATCACACAATAAAGAACGAAGTAATCTAACTTCTCCACCATTTGCTTTTTTTTTACTATAACAAAGTTGAGTATTTTTCAAATCTATAAAACAAAGATGCATTACTCTCATATTTATAGATAGAAAAATATCTTTGAGTTGAAGTAAAATTAAGAGAAAAACCAAAATAAATTAAAATGGTATAAACAAATAGTAAAAATATGCTGGTTAATTGAGTGCATTGTGATGGGAGTTGGAGGAGAAAATGGCAGTTGCTTAATGAACCTCTGTTGCCTCACAAGAAGTCATCAACAAAAACTATTCTACTTTAGTAAGAAAGTACATTTTCAAGTAGATGTTGATACTTGTAATCTTCTGCAGATAATTTTGCTGTAACAAATATTATGCTAAATCATAGATGTCAATTATTCACTTGTTGCTAGATAACCAGACACTTTCATAGCTCATTAAAATGTATGAATCTTACAAGAGATACACAAGCACACACAAACACCCAAAACACTAACTGCAACTTCTGTCTGATGATGAGGAGTCAGTATCAGCAATGAATCTATTCATTGTTGTGTGCGTGTGAGTGTGCACTGAAACATCTTGAGGTCAACCAAGTTCTATCCTCAAACTGATGTTACTGATGTTCCATCATCATTTAACCAGATTTTGTGAAGTGTGTTAGGACAAGTTCTTTTCAGCACCCCTTTGAATAGTTGAGATTATGTATGTGTGTGTGTGCATATAAAGAAAAAAAAAAAGGAAAACTTATCTTAGGCAACAAGTGGTGGATTTTATCAAGGCAAATGTAAGGATTTTATTTTGCAACAAATATTAATTAAAATAAAATCCTTATATTTGCCATGACAAAGTCCATCAGAAGATGAAATGCATCAGCTAAAAACAAATTTCCTTTTTTATCTTTATTCAATATTATTAGTTATATCTGAAATTTAAACCTACTACATGCATAAAATGACTTCTTGTGAATAGAGTTGAGGATATATGTGTCTGTGTGTGTGGCTTTAATAAGCCAGTTAATAAAATCTGAGGAGTAAAAAGCTAACAAAATGATAACTTTTTTGCATCATCCATACTGATGGAAGTTAACAATTGATTTGAGGACATTTTCAACAGCTGCTACTAGTTTTACTATGATGTCAGAATTATCAGACTTACTATTAAGACAAAAGTAAATAGTTGTCATCAGCATAAATACCTAGCTGGAAACTGATGACATGGGGAACGTTGTTGATGAAGAGAAAAAAACAACATAGGTCCAAGGATGGAGCCCGTTTAACCTGGGGCAGATTCAAATTAATATGAAAACGATCTAGAAGTGTGGCTATTTAACATGATCTTATCATAC